CCTAGAAGAATGTGGCAAACATCCATGTCAAGGACGTCACAAGTGATTTGATCCTTTGTAGCTCGCACCTATCGATAGAGGTACGGTGCAAATGGTATTAACAAGGGCTTCTCCCCCTTATTAATCCAGCTCACTTTGTAAGGACTCGAGTGTGGAGAAACTTTCAGATTAAGGGCGGAAATGAGTTTACTGGATACCACGTTTTCTGTACTGCTGCTATCAATTATGATGTTGCATACCTTACCATTAACAGTGCAGCGAGTTCCAAACAGAGAGTGACGCTGTGGAAAGGAATCGGTTTTTGGAGTCAGCAAGATTCGTTCCAAAATGCACGACACTTGTTCTCCATCATCTGGTTCAATATAAGCAATGTCTTCATCAGAGTCTGGAGTGAAAGACTGCTCAAGGTCCGGACAATCATCCACAAGATTGACCGATTTCTGTTGAGGACATTCATTTGATAAATGACCCACCTGTCCACACCTGAAACATTTCCCAAGAGTTGGTCTGCTATACGAATCAGGAGGTTTTTTGGGAACCGGATCTGGCACTTTATTATCTTCACTGTTCCTGCCTTTTGTTGTAAGAGATGTACCTGTAGTTGCCAATTTGTCAAGAGTGGACATACCCTTTTTGGAGGTAGAGGCTTGGCCATCAACCGTGGAACGCCTCTGATATTGGTATTTGAATTTGTTAGCTTGTTGCTCTTCTACCGTTACTGTAGTGGCAATGGCTTCACTTAAGTATCCAATCGGTTGAAGCTGCAATTTTTCTTTAATATCAGCTCTCAATCCACTAATAAACCGAGCCACTTGATACTGCTCGTGTTCCCCCAAATTAGTTATTGCCCTCAACCTATGGAATTCCTCCATATAGTCAGCTATCGAGCGTGCACCCTATCGACAATTCTGGTACTATTTAATGAATCTGCACGTAATTGATAGGAAGAAATCTGGCCCGCATTAATTTCTTCATCTTTTCCCACGAACGGATAGGATTCTTTCCAAATCGTTGGCGATTTGTCTCAAGTTATTCCTACCACGTAGCAGCACCACTTTTTAGTTTAAAGGCGATTAATTTCACCTTTTTGTTATCTGGGGTATTCATATAGCTGAAAAAACTTTCTATGTTCTTAATCCACTCCAAAAACCCTTCAATGTGCATCTTCTCATCAAAGGTAAGTAAGTCGATTTTCATCTTATAATCGCCATCTTCATGCAAGTTGTTGTGTTGTTGTCCATTCTATCGTTGACCAGCATGCCACATATATTCTTCCTCTTCATCACTAGAAGAATCAGCCATAGTATCGTGTCGTCGGTAAAAATGGGTTCTTGAGGCATTCTTGGAGTTGGCAGATCATGTTTTTGCATAGTTCTTGGCGCAGCTGTCTAAGAACCTTGACCAATTACGATTTCTGATTGTCGACCCTCCCTATTTTGATCAAATCTTGGAGGAATCTGGTTGTCGATCCTCCCTATCTGATGTAAGTTGATCGCATCTATCTTGTTAGCAATTACATTCAATAGTTGGCAAATCTCTACCACATTCTGTTGGAGGTTTTCAACAGCCCCCTCAACCATTACTAAACGATTGGTTGTGGATCGTGGAGAGAGGACGGTAGTTGATTCCACCTCTTTTCCAGCGAGGGAAAGTTCTCCTGAAGAACCCTTCTTGCCCGCCATTCTTTGAGCCCAAGAAAGAAAGAGCTCTGATACCAATTGGTGCAGACCAATTAAAGAAAACTAGAATTCTTATTAAAACGTACTCAAATACAAAGAGGAGCCTCCTTTATACAGGGAGGACTCAAACAGCTTTAAAATAAACAAGCTGGACAACTAAACCAACCGAACAACTAACGCCTAACTAACTAAACATAGTTCTGAATTACATCAGATTTATTAATAATATATATTTTTGTTTAACAAAGAGTTTTAGTGCTTTGGAGTATCCATATCATAGAGCTTGATACAATGATTTTAACGGATCTTGAATCATCCAAATCAAGCTCAAACGAAGAAGTTATGGACAAAAAAGTTGAAAGAAAAATGCTCGAGAAGCGCACATGGACCAATCACAAGGCAACACGTGGCAACTTGAAAATTTCAGTTAAAAAAAAGAAAGAAATTTAAAAGAAATTTAAAAAACAAACAAGAAGGAAAAGAAATTAAAGAAAAAGAAAAGAGAAGATAAAAAAAATCATGTTTTGTTACCGTTTGAGTAAAAAGAAAAAAAATACAAACGTCAGAGGTGCTGACAAGGACATAGAGGAAAAAAAAGAAATAAGATAAAATTCATTTAGTGGTTGAGAATAATTTATTATATATATTCTTGTTGCTGTTTTTATTCAATTCAATCTCAACCTTTCATCTTTAACCATTTRAAATCCAATGGTCCACATTGATTTTTGTTTTAAATCAATTTCAATTTGTTTCCCGTCCTATTTAAACATCTTTTTTTCCTTTAAATTTATATAACAATTTTCTCCTCATTTTCTCTCCAATTCCTCCATTGTTCATATCTCTAAAAGCTTCAATTTTTGTTTCAATTCTTGTGAGAGATTTCATTTTGAGGATCATTGAGCTTGTAATTTTATTTTCTCTTAGCCATTTGAGGGCTTTTATTTGTAAGAATTTTTCTTACAAATTTGTGAGCAAAAATTTGTATATATACTCTTTGAGAGAGTTTGTGAGATTGTATTCAAAATTTCAATTCTTTATAAAGGTTGCTATTGAGCCCGAAAAAGAGCATTTGTAACGGTTTGATCGTGAATCGTGGAAATGATCGAGTTTGTTCTTGCTCCTGAAAAAATAACATTGTACCGGTTGGACTCTAAGCCGTGGAAAGAGTCGAGTTCTTCAATTGAACACCAAAGAGGAGCTTGGAAAGTGGAGTAGGTCGGTTGTAGTCGAACCACTATAAAATTTTCGGTGTAATTTTCTCTAACCCCATTTTATTATTCATGTTTATGGTCAATATTTACATTTGGATTAATCAGGGTGCTTGAAAGTATTTCTACTTTATTGATTAATTGTAAGTTAAAATTAGTTATTTGTAAAAAGTTTACATAATTGTTTAAATTAGGTCCACCGTGTTAAAAAGTTTATAAATTGTAATTAAACTCTATTCACCCCTCTAGAATTGTCATGCCGATCCAACAGAAACATGTCTAATTGGGTTGGGGTTAACCTGGCATTAACACGGGTTGGTTCTTTCTATATGGGCAAGTTTTGTTGACGAGGTCGGAAACCAGTCATTACGATTGATCTCAAGTCTCAAATCCATTATATCTCCTAAACAAAGTAAAATTAGAAAATTAGATAAAGACTACCTCAATTAAGAAATTATTTTTTTTTAAAATGTCTTCCATTCGAATCAAGGTCCCTTTCTACAATTCATCCTGATTCGAGATGGATCGAGACACAGACAGAGATGAAAGGTAGAAGGGGCCATCTTGATCTAAGATGATCTATAAGAAGGCCACATCTTTTAGCCATTCATCTCGGTTCGGGATGGACGAGACAAGAACCGAGATGAAAGGCATAATTGTTGCCTTCTTGATCCCGGATGGTTGAGCCAAATACTATCCGGACTGCTCATATTCATCAATCCTGGAACGAAATGCACCGTGATTGAATCCAATATTGAATCTAGGATAGAACCCTATGTTCAAAATTTCAAAACGATACCTGCAAACCCCAAAAGTAAATTGAGAACAACTTGGCTACTTCAGTGTCGAAAATTAAAATTCTAACAAAAAAGAACGAAAATTTGCTTGAGATTTTGAGTGCACTAACCTTGCTACCTCTCGAGATCAAAACGATGATGATGTAGATGATGGCTGGGTGCGAAAGGATGTGAGGTTCAAAGGGGATAGATTGATGACGTTGGTGATGGATGGGTATGAAAGTCCGAGAAATATTCCGGGTTGCTTCCGGGATAGGAAAGGAGGGGAAGGGATCGAGATCCGAGATAGGAAAGAGTTGGAGTGTTCGTTTTTTTAAAAACTAAGGGTGCTATAGTAATTTTCCTTTTACAAATTTTGAAAGGGTCAAAATTAGGTGGGAAATTGGGGTTTCTAACCCCATTTTATAATCCATTTGGATTTTTGACACCCCACCAAATCTTACTTGTGACCTATTCCATTCTAATTTTTTATATCTCTCCTAATTTTTGCCCTTGTAAAATTACCAAAATAACCTATTAAAAAAACACAAAATTATTCCTCCATCAATCTCTCACCTTACACCCCACACTTTTTTTTTTTAAAAAAAAATTGAATCAAATATGAAAAAATATCAACATTTAAGTTTAAGAATCAATTACGAAATGGGCACCAATAATGGAATCCACAAAAAATCCTCCAATAACTAAATCAAGCACAACATAATCCACCAAAAATATCCAATAACCAACCAAAAGTAACTCCATATACAAGAGAAAAAATCGATAATGAGAGAGAGATAAGTCTTATCGGAAGTCATTGGGAAGGTGTGAGCAATTTTCTATGTTAACAGAAACTCATCTGAAACCATCATCACCGCTCACACACACACAAAAAAAAAAGAAATTGCATGAATCTCAGACTGGGATAACATTTTATAAATCCTAAGACAGGATTGTGCAATCCCGGTCCATGATTGTGCTAGCCTGGTATGGCACTATCTCGGGCCGAAATTCATGTCATTTTAGTTTTTTTTGGGCATTTAAGCCATCTTGCCCTCTTTTAAATTAAATTCCCACATATATGCGATCTTGACCAATTTCTAATCTTCAAATTAAAAAGTTAGATTTTTTCCATTCATAATTAATTATTAAATTAAAATGTTAGAGATTTTTTCTATATTAGATTTAAATTAAAAGGCTCAACTGAGCTCTAAGTTGGAGAGCATCGAGATATATGGGTACAGCACATGGTAAGGTCACAAGAGTTTTCAAAAAGGGTCATAGATATAAATTTATCTATGAAATGGATCATATATACCAATTTCGTTTATGGGAATTAAAAGCTTTAATACCAATTTACTCTTTAGCTTCCGCCATTTCCTTCTCCTCCAATGGCCGCCATTTCCATTTCATTACCGTCTGCCTCTACTTCTTCCCTCTCCGCCTCCAAATTCCCAACTTTCTCCACAACTTCCTCTCTACCATTTTCTTTCTCTTCTGCCTATAATTATGACAACAGGAAAACGGCCCTCTCTCTCAAAAGCATCGCTGAAACCACCTCCGCTCACTCCTTTTCTACAAACATTAATTCTTCTACTTCCAAGATCGTTTCCAGGTATGCACCCATTAATCTTTTCTATTTCATCAATTGCTTTCACATTTCTATCAAGCCTGCTGCGTAGGGATTTGGTTTCGTGTCGCCGGTCTACTCCTTGTTCCCTTCTAGCTCACAGTTTAGGTTTCTTGTAGAAGTTGGAAGTCCACTGTAAAAGGCATATAACGAAGTCCCATATTAGGAACGGGTGCAAAAAGCCGTTTGCATGATCAATCATATCTCATGCTAAAAGAATCACAATAGAGAAGATTGGGATTCTAAACCAAGCAGTCAAACTCTGCTATTACATTATCTTTTCGTGTTTTATTGATTAATAGTGGGAACAAGATATCTGCTTATGTCCCCCTGATGGTTGCTTGATGTGTTTGATTCAAGGTTATGATAGTTTCTACAATGTAACTTTTAGCCCTAAGAAAGAGAGTCCAATGTCCTAGACTTTGTGGGAGGTCACCTGAGGTCCCTACTAGCCCAAAAATTTTTTTTCAGTAAAACAATTTGGGGATATGGCGAATCTCCGACCTCGAGGGAAGGAGTACATGTCAATTACCGTTAAGCTATGTTCACGTTGGCACTAGACCAACCATTTTTTTGGTTATTGTTAGGTTAAATATAACTTTATATTGACATTACATATCAAGCATATGGTGCTGTGCTTTATGTTATGTGTCACATGTTCTGAAATAATAATATTTTTGTGGTTATTATATTTAGTAAATTTTATGCTTGGATGTATCATAATTTAAAGTATAATGTATCTGCACTTGCCATATCATGGATCATTATTCCCAACTAATCAAGCTAAAATTCGAAGTTCTGTGATCAGCGATGAATGCCAATCTTGTGGTTTACATGGGTGATTGATCTTTGTTCTATGTTGATTTTATGTTATATAGTATTGTGATTAATAAAATATTCAAAAACTGAAGAAACATTTAATCAATTTGGTTTAATGACTGTTCAGTTACTTATGAAAATTGAACGGTAAGCAGAATTTAATCCATTGGATTTCTGTTTTGACTTAAATACTAATCTGGTGCATCCTACCATGTTCCCAGGGTGAGACGGCATACAATTTCTGTGTTTGTTGGGGATGAAAGCGGAATGATTAATCGTATAGCTGGTGTCTTTGCTAGAAGAGGATATAACATCGAATCACTTGCTGTTGGCCTGAATAAGGATAAGGCTCTTTTCACCATAGTTGTCTCGGGAACTGAAAAGGTGTTGGAACAAGTTATTGAGCAGCTCCACAAGCTTGTGAATGTTTTGAAGGTACAATATCATCTTTATAAGCTCTCGTATTTAATTATGTTTGTGCGACATATATTTGGCCCTCGTCTTGTATGTTGGATTTGTGTCTCATTTCCTCTGAAACCTTTACCTTCCATTGCTTTTTATTTTTTACTACACTATATCTAGATTTTTCATATAAATAAAAATATGCAGCAAACAGATTTCTGCGATTGATTTGCAGGAAACTGATGCTTGCCTCCTTCATGAGTTGCTCGTCAAACTGTTTCTGTTTATCCCTTCCATTCATGTAGGAACCATTTTAGGTACTGCCTCATGGATACTAATCTTCTCATCAGGTTGAAGATCTGTCGAGTGAGCCACAGGTGGAACGTGAGCTGATGCTTATAAAAATCAACGCAGATCCGGCATATCGTGCTGAGGTAGTTTATTGGTGATATTTGTCTTCAGGATTTCCATTATCAAATGGCTTAAGGCTAGACATTTGATTCATTTCTGCTATCCTTAATTAATATATACATTGTTTGTTTGATTTCATTTTCTTTTGCCTTTTAGATTAAGAGGTTAGTGGAAATCTTCAGAGCAAAAATTGTAGATATCTCAGATGAATCTGTAACAATTGAGGTAAATTTAGGATTCTTCCCCTCGAAAGAACTTCTATAATGCTTTTACATAGTTGTGAGATTTGATCTTAATCTGATGCTTCTACATTTTACCTGTTAAATTGCTTCGGTTTTATAAGTGCTTAAATGATATGGAAAATCAGTAAGACTCTTAACGTAACCCTATTTATTGATATTCAAGTATTTTTCTGCAGTAAGCATCTGTCGCTTATATCCCAAATTTGCTTCCTTTCCCCTTTTTTTGAGACTCCAATTGTTCTATTGTTTTAAAGCTATTTGTATCATATAGGTGACTGGCGATCCAGGGAAGATGGTTGCATTTCAAAGAAATTTAAGCAAATTTGGAATTAGAGAAATTGCTAGAACAGGAAAGGTCAGTAACTTTCCTGAACTTTTTTAAAATATTATTCTCTATTTCCATTTATGTATGATCTAGTTAAATTTTGTTTGGCTGAATATATAATTTTGTCTTTCGTGTGTAAACAATTTTTCAATTTTGTTTTAATATTTTAAAAGTTCCAATTTTTTCCCAACAATATGATCATTTACGAATTAAATCCCAACATCAATAATAGTTTAAGTATTTTTCAATTAAGTCCCATTGTCCACACTAGTTTGCTGATTGTGACGTTAAAATATTATTAAATAGCAGAGTTGAAATTGAGAAATTGTAATTGAAAAAAAAACATTATGGGCAACATCACGTTTAATTTTAAACATAGACTTGTTTGAATTTTTTCTTAAAAAAAACGTGCATTTAATAACATTTTCAAAATAGAGTACTTTTGATAATATATCAAAAAAATATAAATATTTTATCAATGTTGGTAATCAATTTGTCGAGTTTGATCTTTTTTAATAAGTAAAAAATTACCATTCAAAAAGTTAAAATTATTAAAAAACTATAAAATATCTCTAGTACCTGCCTACAAATAATAATTGAAATACATTATCGTGCACCTTTATTTGAAACTAATTATCAAGTTATAAAAGTATTTCTTAACATAAAATGAATTAGGTTAGTTTCTTTACTTGACTAAATCTGAAACATCTCTACAACATCTTCAAAGTCTTGATATTTGAACGTAAAATATTAAATTTTATTTTATTTATAACAACATCGAATATCAAGCCAACTTGAGTGTAGCTCAATAGGTTGAGGCATATACTCTTGACTAAAAGGTTGGAGGTTCGAATCCCCACCCTTGAATGTTGTTGAACTCAAAAAAAAAAAAAAAACAAGAAAAAACAAGAAAAGAATAAACCAAGGGACAAAAATTTAATGTCAAATCACAACAATTGAAAAATATTCTTACATCAGGGAAAAAACTGAAATTTTCGTAACATTAGGGATTAATAATGTTTCGCAAATTTTTTCTAGCATTGGTTTGGGATTAATAATGTTTGAAAGTCTATTTCTTGTAGATTGCTTTGAGGAGAGAAAAGCTTGGTGCATCTGCCCCTTTTTGGCGATACTCAGCAGCTTCTTATCCAGATCTTGAAGAAATGATGGCCGTTAATGCTTCCATGGGAACTGAAAATAAAGCATTCAACAGTGAACTGAGTGAATCTGGTCCAGTACATGTAAGGGTTCTTTCTGCATTCTAGTTTTTGTCTCGACCAGAGATACGATACGTCATTGCATCTTGTATATTTAAACTATGGCAATATCGTATAACAAGATATATCTAATTATAAATATATCTTTTCAAGTATGAGTGGAGTCAGACTAATCTACTTGAGATATTTGGTATTAAGTAACATTGTTAAGATAGGTAATATTGGAGGCTGGAAACATCTAGGGACTTCTCTCATAAATCCCTTTTCATAAACAGATCCTAAGAACAGCCAATTTCTTTTAGATGATCTCATTAAAGCCGTGTGGAAAGAGATACCTGGAAAAATTCATTCTTTGGAAGTTTTCCCCACTAGGTGTTAATACCTGGCACAGCAGGTCCCAATGAAAATCCTTGAAAATCTCTGAAAATCTCCCTCTTCTATTGGTGTTTGGGCACAGAAGATAACAATCATCTCTTCTTGCACTGCCTTCTCACCCAATACTACTTATGGTGTCTTTTAACTATGTTAGTATCTATTGGTGCTTTCCCAGAAATTTTATTTGATAGACATCATGTGGCAATGTATCTCTCACCAAAAAAGACATCATGTGGCAAATTTTCTGCTATCATCTAGGAAAGAAGTCAAGAGTTATGTAGACAAATGCCTTGAAACGATTATCTGAAGAGTTTTGGTTGGATAGAAATAGTAGAATTTTTCAGGGGCTGGGAGAAGTTTATCTGATATTTGGGAACTTTTGTATTTCCTAGGTGGTTCTACATGGAGTTCTTCATATCAATATTTTTATAGTTACAGTCTGGATAAGCCAATCGATCAAAAATAGTTTTTGTGTCTTTAAGATGGCCTTCCAAGGACCTGTAGCCGATGAGAGGGGTGTAGAGATGGGCTGAATGTTCCACGTGGTTTTACCATATTTTGCTTTAATCACCTTCTTCCAGAGGGCCGTGTCTTCCTTTAAATGCCTCCAAACCCATTTAGCAAGGAAAATTATGTTTTTCAGTTTCCATACTAGTGATATCACAAAGAAAAAAGGAAGTGAGTTAGAAAAAAAGAGAAGAAACCTAGGCCCCTTGAATCGGTTGTTGTGTGATATCTCTCTTGATTAGGTGCAGCCCATTAATCTCCTTGTTACCTTTTCAAAGGAAGCTAAATATGTTGCTATTCCAAAGTATGTGCTACCTTAAATGGCAATGGGAAGGGAGAGAGGTAGTAGGTGGGGAGGTTAGATAGAGTGGCTTGGATGAGTGTGTCTGCCACCTTTGGAATGGAAGGAGTTTTTCCATGATTGAAGGAGTTCTTTTGATTCAAGTTAAATCTATAAGAATAGTGCTAAGGACTCCTCCGTTTAGAGTTCTTAGCCTTAGATGCCAAATTGGCTGGTGTGGTCTGCTTTGAAGATCAATGAWGCCTTTTCCTCTTGTTTCCAGTCGTAGAAATCTTAAAGATGGTTCTATGTGCCATGTGGGTGTGAGGCCCGTATAGTGAATACTTATGTTAGGAAGGGCAAAGGGGTAAATTCCCTGTTTGTTGGGCAAGTCTTTTGTACGGGGAAGTACTTATGTTAGGGGTCTATCTTAGAAAAGGTAATTTTTGTCTTTTGGAAGGTTTGTCTTGGCAGGACAGCTCCCAACCCTCTCTAACGGTTGGGTCCCTTGTAAGTCTTAGGGCTCTTGTTCTTGTTCTTATTTTGAATATCAATAAGTAAGGAGATACCTTACAAATTGGTATCAAAGGCTTCAATCCTGGGGAGAACGAGAGGAATGGCGTAGAAACAGCTGGAAGAACATTGTGAGAATAATGAAAAAGAGATGATGAACATCAAGGAAAGTCTGGATAGGTTATCCAACCGGATGGAGGAGATAGATAGGTTATCTAACCAGATGGAGGAACAAGGGAAAGTCGTGGCAATGCTGGTCACTGAGCTAACGAAGTCAAAAGGGGGAATATGTATTCTGGTTCGGAAACCCCAGGAACGAAGTGAAAGCAACCGGAAAGGACGGAAGGGTCTGAGTTGACTCCAGATATAAGGGAGGAGATGGGTCACCTAGGGAAGACAGAAGAAGGTTATTATGACCGGACTAAGTTTAAAAAAGTGGAGATGCCGATGTTCTCCGGCGAGGACCCTGATGGGTGGCTTTTCCGAGCAGAGCGCTATTTTTAGTTGTTTTCTTTTATTTTCTCAAAGATAAACCTTTTTGTTTTAGAAATTATTTTGAAAAGATAATTTGTTCTTAAAATTTAAAAAATAAAAAGTAAAAGTTTTATTAAATCTCCATCTTTTTATGTTAATCCTTTTTTAAAAAGGATTAATTAAGATTTTGTTATAAAAGCTCTTAAACCTTAGGTTTTATTTTTCTTAAACTGCTAGACCTAGTTTTCTCTCAGAGAGAAAAAGAAAAGAAAAAAAGAAGAGTTTTTTATTTTCTTTCAAAGATCAGCAAGCTTTTTTCTTCCTCATTGTTTTAGTTTTATTTTTCTTGATTTGTAGTTTTTTTAATTCAGTTTATTGGTAAAAGTTTTGAGGTCTTTGTTTTTTAGAAGAAAAGATTTTAAGGACTTTTGCCCTAAAAATTTTCCAGAATTTTTGGTTTGAATCTTTTTGTTTATGAGATTGTTTTTGGGCTATTTTGAGACTCTTTTTGCATAAAAAGTTTACCTATTTGTATCCTATAAATTATAGTTTGTTATGATTTTTACATGAAAAATTATATGTTTTTACCAAGTTTAGGTTTTCTATACAGTTTTCAGATCTGATTTTTCTATAAAAATCAGTAAATTGTTAATTGTTTATGGAAAATTGTTGGAAGTTTTATTTTATAAAACATAAAATTTTCCAGATTTAAAATCCCCAAATTTTCWATTTATTATAAGGCTTTTAAACTTGTTTAGTTGAGAAACTTTTTGTAAATTTAGTCTGTATTAATTTATACCGATTCTTGTAATTTTAAAGGTTGTTATTGTTGATTTTAGAGACTTTTTAACCCAATTTTCAGATCTGGTTTTGTAGCCCCAAATCCATACTTTCCTAATTATTTTGCATAAAAACGTGTTTTGAATGGAAAAATTGGGTAGATTAGATTTGGTTAGTAATCGGTTGAATTTTAGATCCTTGGATAGGATTTAAGGATTGATTTTGGATATTGGTTGTTTATAGGCCTCTAAGTTGACAACTACCAAAGAGGAAGTTAATAAGGTTTGTAGGATTTTTGAAAGAGGTAAGTAATTTATCATATCTCTTCGAAAAGTGTAGTAAGTAATTTTCCATATCTTTTGGAAAAGTATTGTAAGTGATTTGCCATATCTTTTCCAAAACTAAAATGTATTTTGGATTTGATATGACGATTTGAAATTGATATCTTGCATATGAAATTCAAGTTTTATTATGGATTTGAAAACTAATTTGGCAAAGTATTTGAAGTATTCTTAAATGATTTGATAAAGTTTTGTTTAAATTTATTTAAAGGTTTGAAATTGATATTTTGTTTATTTGTGAAATATTTGAAATCATGTTTTGGAGGATTGATAAAGTTTGTTTTAAATTATTTCAATGTTTTGAATTAATTTAATATTGAAAGTAAGTATTTGTTTTGCATTTTATTTGAAAGATATTTTGATTGATTTCATAGGACTATCCGGATATGCCATGATTTTGTTTTGAGGAACGTTTTGCTTATTTGGGGTAGTAGCCTAATTTGGAATGGATGGATTTCTGTTCTGGCTTATTTGTGGGAAGACACTTTTGTGGTTTGGCATTCCTTGGGAATGAAGATTTATGTGTGTGTTATTCACTTACATGACCTCACACCTAAGTAACTCTGTTCTGGTCGATATTATTTCGACAACACTGTTCTGGTCGATATTAATTTGACAACTCATATAGAAGTTTCTGATTGATTGGTGTTACCGACAGGTAACTACATATGTTCTGTAGGCTACCCAAGTAATGCAACCTTCCACTCTGATTTTGAAAGTATGAATGAATGTAAGATTGTTTTGAATGTTTGAATGCTTTAGTTATTCGAAAGTTTGAAAGTTGTACCAAATGTTTTAGAAGAAATTTTGAAAGTTTTGATTGAAAGAAAGTTTGTCTTGAAGGATTTGAAGTTTGATCGAATGAAAGTTTGTTTCGAATGAATGGAAGATTGTTTTGAATAATTAAAAGTTCGTTTTGAATGAATGCAAGTTTGTTTTGGAAGAATGAAAGTTTGTTATGATTGAACGGAAATTTTATCTTATTTGAAGACTTTTGTTTCTGAAAATCTAGTTTGTTTTTAAAGTTTTGAAAATTGTATTAAATATTTTAAAGGACTTTAAAAGTTTTGATCTGTTCGTATTGTTTACGAATGTTTTGAAAGGAAAATGAATTTTGAAATTCGATATGGAAATTGCTTATTGAGTATTTTTGTACTCATCTTTGTTTTCCTAAATGTTTTTCAGATAAAGGATTGAATGATCGTTCTGGTAGAAGGTGAAGTTTAGCATACTGGCATGAGTTTGAAAGTCATATTCCTATTTAGTTAAGTTAGTTTAGAAAAATTCTGTAAAGAAATTGCTTCCGCGGAATAGTTTTAGTTCTTAAGGTTTTTTGAAAGTTACGTTTCCGCATTTTGTCAGAATGACCGTATTAGAAAATACGGGTTGTTACACGAACGGTAAGAAGGTAACGGTGGCGGTCATCAGCTTTGACGGCAATGCTCTATCGTGGTATCGGTGGGAGACAAGAGATAATCAAGAATTGCCGGATAGGATGACCTAAAGGTCCTTCGTATGATTTCGACCGTCGTAGGAGGGTAGCCTTACGCTCGGTTTCTGGCCATACGACAGACGGGAACAGTGGCAGACTTTCGTCGAATGTTTGAGGAATACTCAGCACCTATACGAGGACTGTCAGATGAGGTTTTGGAGGGAACTTTCCTTAATGGGTTGCAATCTTTGATTAAGGTTGAGATATTGAGTAAGGAAATCATTGGGTTACGGAAGGTCATGCGAGCAGCCCAGCTAATTGAAGACCGAACCACAGCAACGTTGACCTTCATCGAAGACGCTAAAAGCCCCACGATTGGGCCAGTCCAATCGATCACCCAGCCAGCATCAAAGGCTACGCCAGCCCAAGTAACCCGTATTGTTACACTTGCCAACCGTACCTCCACGTTGCCCGCAACGAGTGACCCTAATCGCAAGGACTCAGGGTTTAAGCGTTTATCAGAGACAGAGTATAACACTTGCAAGGCGAAAGGTCTCTGTTTTCGTTGTGATGAATGCTACACCGTCAGTCACCGGTGCAAGAACCACAAACTGCGAGTCCTCTTGGCGCACGACGACGATCTTAGGCAGATGGACGTGAATGGAGGCGCAATTAGAAATGGTCGAAGAGGTAGGCGAGGTGGTCGAGATGTTCCTCAACATAGTGTTAGGGTTCTCTACACCTGGTACAATGAAGTTGCGAGGTGAGATCGACCAATCGGAGGTGGTGGTCCTAATTGATTGTGGAGACTTCCAACTACAGGGTCATTATGGGAACGGGAGTAGCCATAAAAGGGAAAGGTATCTCTAAGGGAGTAGTTTTGAAACTTCCTGAACTAACTGTTGTGGACAAATTTCTTCCTCTGGAATCAGGTGGGATAGACGTGGTGCTAGGAATGCAGTGGCTGTGTACCCTTGGATCAATGGAGGTCGACTGGAGTGCCTTGACAATGACATTCAAAGCAGGTGGAACTCGAGTGGTGCTCAAGGAGATTCGTCTCTGACGAAAGCAAAAGTGACATTAAAGCGTTTGGCACGATCATGGGACGCTCAAGACCATGGTTTTTTGGTGGAGTTCTGCACGATCACCGAGTTCCAAATAGAGGCTCCTGATTCAACTCCTCCCGCGGAACTGTTGCGCTCAATTGATAGATTGCTCACTGAGTACCAATCCGTATTCCAAATCTCGGAGGGTCTACCCCCAAAGAGAGAAGTCGACCACCACATACTACTCAAAGGGAACCCACCCGTGAATGTGCAGCCATACCGTTACATGCATTTGCAGAAGGCTGATCAAACGTTTGATCGGAGAAATGCTGACGGCGGGAATCATCCGTCCCAGTGTGAGCCCCTACTCTAGCCCGATGCTGCTGGTCAAGAAGAAGGATGGGAGCTGGAGGTTCTGCGTGGATTACAGGGAGTTGAATAATGCAACGGTTCTAGACAAATTCCCGATTCTGGTAATCGAGGAGTTGCTGGACGAGCTTCACGACAATCTACTCCAAAATTGACCTCAGGTTGGGATACCACCAGATACGGGTGCATGAGCAGGACGTGGAGAAAACGACATTTAGGACGCACGATGGCCATTATGAATTCTTAGTGATGCCCTTTGGCCTCACCAATGCCCCGACCACATTTCAAGCATTGATGAATCGTGTCTTTCGACCCTTCTTGAGGAGGTTTGTGTTGGTATGTTTTGATGATATTTTGATCTATAGCCCATATTTGGACTCTCACACTACCCACCTAGCGGTAGTGCTGAATATACTGCAGGAACACTCCTTGTATGCCAACATGAAGAAATGTCAATTTGCCCAAGAAAGAATCGAGTACTTGGGGCATTGGGTCTTGACTAAGGGTGTGGAGGCTGATCCCGAGAAGGTCCGGGCCATGATCCAATGGCCGATTCCGTTGAATCTAAGAGAACTCAGGGGATTCCTTGGCTTAACCGGCTATTATTGCAGATTTGTGGAGAATTACTGCGCCATCGCTGCTCCCCTTACCCAACTCTTGAAGAAAGATGCATATGTGTGGTCCGACGTTGCGATATAAGCCTTTGAATGTCTTAAACGGGTGATGATCACACTACTGGTATTAGCCTTACCCGATTTGAGCCAGCCTTTTGTGGTGGAGACAGATGCCTCGGGTATGGGTCTAGAGGCATGGGTCTAGAGGCATGGGTCTAGAGGCAGTATTATCTCAGGGACAGCGGCCGATTGCCTTCTTCAGTCAGACCTTGTCGATGACCAACCAACAGAAGTCGATTTACGAGCGTTAGTTGATGGCCATTGTCCTTGCCATTCAACGTTGGCGGCCTTATTTGTTGGGCCAAAAATTCTTTGTACGCACCGACCAGCAAGCCTTGAAGTTTCTCCTAGAGCAGAAAGTAACTCCCCCGGACTATCAGCGGTGGATCTCGAAATTACTGGGGTACGACTTTGAGATTCAATATCACCCTAGGCTGGAAAACAAGGCGGCCGATGCTTTATCACGAATTCCACCCACTTATCGCCTTATGTCCCCAGTTGAAGCCTGTCCGATATGCCACCAACGGTTCACTTGGCTACCTTGACTGCCCCAGCCATTTAGACGTAGGCGTAATCTGGAAGGAAGTGGAATAAGACCCGTCCCTCAGTAAGATTATCATTGAGTTGCAGGCCAACCCGGACAGCCCGTGCCCCGATTCTCATTGCAGCAAGGGAAACTCTTGTAAAAGGGTCGTTTGGTCCTCACACGTAATTCATCCCTCATCAAGGCCACCCTCCATACCTATCATGACTCCGTATTCGGGGGACACTTTGGTTTTTTGAGAACTTATAAGCGGCTGACAGGTGACTTGTATTGGCAAGGAATGAAACAGGATGTGAAGATGTATATCGAACAGTGTGATGTGTGCCAACGGAACAAATCGCTCACTACCTCACCAGCCGGTTTACTACAACTCCTTCCACGCCCTGATCGAATTTGGGAAGATATCTCCATGGACTTTATCGAAGGACTTCCCAAATCAGCATCCTATGACGTTATCTTTGTGGTGGTGGAACGTTTGAGTAAGTATGCACACTTCATACCCATTGGCCATCCCGTCTCGACAAGACCATTGCGGCATCGTTTGTGAAAGAAGTAGTCTGTCTTTATGGGTTTC